GACGTCAGCCCTGCTTCTGTATATAACAGTTAAGCGTGTTTCGAACAACGCAATTTAATATCTTACGACAAGTGCGTGGCGTGCTGAATGATCGACCCGACAAACGGAATGAAAAAGCGGATGCTAAGACCGAAGCTGTATCGAAAATCCTGAGGCCGGTGGTTGAATGGTTTTAGCGCTAAGATTCTACCTTTCAATGGTGTGTCTGCAGTATTTAAGACTATATTGGATCCTCATTTAATGGGACCATGTGCGGTTGTAAAATATGGTTCTTGCGCATACGCTTAGCTTACCGCGCAAATTGAGGCCTCTTCACGTGTATTACGTTGGCCTCCTGAAGCGGTATTGGTGTAAGTCCTAAGGTCATCCGGAGGCGCTTGCGCCGCGAAAATTAACCTTACCACAGGTTGCTGCATCTAAATCGAGTGGTCAAGCTTCGTCTTCGTGCACTTTTGACGCGTATTAAATGTCAACAGACGGGCTTGCACCGCGGTAAGCGTTCGCTGATTCGGACATAAAGTTTCGTAAAATTGGTTGACTCGTGAACTAATCTCATGGGCGCCTTGAACGTAAAAATTGCTATGACTACGACAGGTTTGATGCAAGAATTCAGGGACGGGCGGCTTTCCACGCGCGCTACTGTCCGGCTGTGCCGGTAGCTGCGATACTGTATCAGGCTTCAGCCATTTAATTGCCTGCTACTCTTCTTAATGTTAGAAGCGTAAATATATCACAAGCTGAGCTCGAGCGTAGCTGTACAAACATTCATGGCATTTGAAAAATCTTGCCGTAGATTATATCATATTCTAATGAATTCTTATACTTGGAGCACCTCTGCCACACAACCAGATACTGATAACGGCCATGACGCCAAAGTCGTTGCATGGACGTTGAAACATATAATGCATCAAACAATTGTGGGTTTTGTTGTTCAGAAATGGCCTTGGTGTGATAATGCATCGATTGACCTTTTTGGTAACGTCAGATTGTGCGGGGGGGCAACGTTACGGTTGAAACTGTTACCACCCGAAAGGGATACCAGTATATGTGGGATAATAATTCTTAAGTTTTATTTTCGATAAATCATGTGATTAAAATCCTCTGTATTTTATTGGTGACAGAATGAAGTATCACTTAACAACCATTACACACTAAGATCTTATGTAAAAAAGTTTAAACTCAGTATCAGGTGGTTGAATGAGGATCATTTCAGATACACTAAGAAACAAGAGTTTAATTTTCCTCTAACTTTAGTGAAACACATGTCAGTTAAAGACATCAATATATCGCAAAGATTAAGATCCATCTTTTGGCGTATGCTTTAGAGCCCATTAAGCGTCCTATTTTTATAGTCATTGTTAGTCCCTCGAACCAGGAATAGAAGCTCAAAAGCTCAGAAGCTACGAGCTTACATATTTTCTTAGTCTTTCTAATTAGATTAAAGAACTGTATACTCTTAAACCTAACAGAAAGTTAGCTGTGTAAAACTATTCAAATTTTTGAAGTCGTAAACTTCCTTTGAATAAAAGCCGTGTAGCTCCGCTACACACGAAGCATCAACGCGATACTACTTATCTGAAAATTAGATGAGCTCTCAGCCCTCCATGATGTTGCCGACCATGTCGCTGAACAGAGCCGGATTATCTTCATCCTTGATGCATGCGGAAACAGTTGGGAAAATTCACATCGTTACAGTTGTCAACTGTAATTTAAATGCAAGTTAGACCCTGTGCATTGGCGTGTGAGCCGAAAACGACGTCCTTACGGAGTTCACAGCTTTCGTGGCCATCTGTAGAGGACACAGCGATTTAAGACGATGAAGTCTTATCACACGCTAGAATCTAAAAATGTACGCACTCGCATACGTTTCACATGTGGGTTCAAATAGAGTTTCGAGACAGCGCGATGTTTAATTCTCTGAATCCATATTACTACTTAAGCGCAATTAGCGATACGCGCAAGGTGTGCTCAGACAAGGACCACCGTCGAGAGGAACGACGATAAGAGCGATTTGAATTGCTCGATCTTTAAGAAAGGAACTTGCCATTACAAAAGAAGCGTAAAATCGATGCGTCATTTTTTAGCTGCCTGGAGAAAGTAAAATGAGTCGCCCGAAAGATTGCAACAGTATAAAACAGTTGGAAAAAAAGAAAGAAATGGTATGATTTATCTTTTCAATGATAAAAGGGAACGATTTAACCGCAAAAACTGTAATGTTGTCGAATTTAAACTTGACAAATTTGAACAATCATTATGACCCGTTACTTTATGGCAAAAAATAATTGTATTTTAAGACAAATATATTTGGGAGACGCAAAAAGTGCCGGCGAGAAATTTTGTTTATTTTGGACTGAAGTGGGCTTAGGCGGTTTTCTTGGAAAAAATTTGATCCGCTCACCGTGCGCTGGCAGATTATAAGGACTTTTTACCGTGGTGCACCAAGAGGCATGTTTTGTTCAAATTGCAAGCGTCTACTCACAAAGGGATAGACGCACAAAGTCAAAATTTTAATACGCATGGCTCGCAGATCCATTTCGTCTAAATCATTTTTTACTCAAGGTTTGTGTAAGCGAGGTTGGTAGTTCCTTTTTTAACGTGACCACTGCTCTTGTTATCATATTAAATAGGCGCGCAAACGATTGCGAAGTAGCTTGTGATGCAGACAATGTACGCTACTCAAAAATTGTTGGCTGTGCTAGGACGGCCACTGATAGTATAATCCTGATCACGTTCTAGCGCTTTTGTGTTCATGACACCGTTTCTACATCGTGTGCTTCTCTATCAGTTGTGACTGTGGACATCACTGCAGCGAAGTTTTTTGCGTATAATGAATCTAGTTGAGATGCCAAAGTATACCACCGACTTTTTTTTAATTTCGAGTAAAACCATGAGCGTACCGATGACTTTATATCCGGATCCGCGCGAACTCCGTCCGCTCTTATAAGTGTCTAAGAACTGGAATCTTTGGGTGACAAAAAAATGCATTTATTCGGTTGGCGTGAGGGTAATTCCGCACATAGCCTGATCCAGATACCTGACCAATATCTTTAGCAACATCTAACGCACGACTGTGCACAAATATTGCGTCTGAGTAGCTTGCCGCATAATCACTTAAATGCCCAGAAAAGTAGTAACATGTGTCTTCATGAGGCTATCTTTTAATTATGTCGCTAGGCGTGATGACATGTTAGAAGAGATTTTCTAACGATCGCATAATTTTTTTGGTTAAATCCGTTTGTGAAAATTATGGACTAAAATATCTCTTTAACACTTTGTTCACGACCATGTGTATTTGTGAATAGGCTTTTGCGCAGTAAGATTTTCATCAGTAATTTTTATATTATTAACGATGTGTCCCTGTCCGTCGCATTATTTAAACAAAAGATGTGCTTAATATTAGTTGACTTGCTATGGCGAACTTAAGCAGCTAGATGATCTTTTTATAAACACCGCGTCGATAGCGTGAATTCGTTCACGTGAAAGAGTCGATGCTTATATGTGTGACACAATGTTTTAGGTGATGGTAGAGGTCACCCTCGTGCCAAGACCGCTTATTTTCTGAGTCACCTCTAGGTTATATAAGGAAAGACAATCGCAAACTCGCACGAATTGCGAAGTTTGGATTCTCGAATGAGGTGAAGTCTCTTCAGGATTGTGCCATGAGATCAATATGCGTGCGGACATTTAGTTTCATGCCTTCTACTTGCTCATGGACTTCAATTGATATAGGTACAGTAAATCTGTATAACAATTTTTGTTCTATATCCCCCTCTTTACATTACGTAGCTTCCCATCTCACAAGAACTTGCACAGCAGCGTGATCCCAGAAGCGTTAAGATGAGGGCTTATGGAACTTAAATAATGGATACATCATACAATAAATTTAGGCTAACAACGTTATTATCATAATGAGATGTAGCCGAAAAAAGAAGTGGGTCCTTTACAAGCGAGTGAGTGCGCGCACGGGGCACAGGGCGATGACACAATATGGAATTATGATCAACGTCGCATCCGGTCTTCCAGACACTGCCTTTACGATAACCTTTTTAGGTATTCTGCTTCAATAGGGTATTTTCCACCAAAAGTGAAAGAGGAGCCGCTGGTTTCTGCGACGCTGTAAAAGCCACTAGTTGTGTGCAGTCGAAGTATTAATCCCGCAAGAATAAATCCTCTGCTTCAACGCTATGGTTGTAACGGGGTGAATCTTTACATAACAATTTATAATAAATTGTTAATAGAATATAAGTGTAAGAGTTATATTCTCAGAATATTGTCAGAAGGACAAATATTCTGTAGCACTTACGAGTAGTTCCTAATTGGTTGATATAGGCCATTATATCAACCAACGAAGACGCGCCACGACAGACGCACGCAATGAGTGGTGAGCAGATAGTTGATTTACACATTTGTATTCAGACATAGTTAGATGAAGATAAATAGTGATTTATTGCAGACATTAACTATGATAAATACAGTTCTACTTTTTACTTTAACCAAGTACTCGCTTCTTCTTACCGTCTTCCTCTGCACGTACGAGTGTACGTGAAGTGACGAGGCACCGCCTTATTCTGTCATCAGAATAAGTAGCTTGTACTGTCACCAGTACAAGCTTCAGGGTGCCCCGTTACACCCGGTAGCACTTCGTAGTCCCTCCAAGGACCACGTTCACATTTAACATGAACATGTTAGATGAGGATGATAACCGAGGCTTTCACGCTACGCGTGACGGCTACTCCCATTTGAGCGATGTCGAATGGGATGCGGTTGAACGGATGGGTTCAACCGTGGGCATCTTTGCTATTAGCGTCATGCTAGAGGCTCTTAATAGAGATGCCCAACATGCTACTATCACCAAGTTCATTTAAAATGAACTGGACGCCGAACGCGAGAAAGTAGCCTTGCTGCACCAACAGGGTTCTCAACAAGCAGAGTTGTTGAGAGAACAGGGTGCTCAACAGTTTGAACTGTTGAGACAGCAGCAGGCTGCTGCTGGTGGGTCGATGCACTCGCATCGACCCGAGACCTTGAAGATTGACATCTCCAAGTATAGGGGAGTCGAAGAGGACTCCCTCTTGCGATGGTTCGTCGAACCAGATGACGCCATAAGGGCGCGTCGCATCGACAACGGGGATATGCAATCTGCGTTTGCCCAATCAAATCTGGCAGAACGTGCCAGGACTTGGGCACTGGGGCTCAAGTTGCACGACCCGTATGCGTTTGGGTCGTTGGAAGTCTTCAAGTCGCGGCTCAGACAAGCGTTTGAACCGCCTAGAGCTGAGTTCAGGGCTCGAACCGAACTCTTGAAGCTCAAGCAGGGTAAGCGTGATGTGCACGCTTACGCTCAACACATACGACATCTCACGAGTTGTATAAGTTCCAATCCGGTGGATGAACACACGTTGGTTTCGGTGTTCATGCAGGGTCTTGCGGATGGTCCCGTCAAGACTCACCTGTTCCGGCTTGAACTAGATTCACTAGAACAAGCCATTGCCATTGCGGAGCAGGAAGACTTCAGTCTGAGACAGGCTCGCGCCAGCTCGATATCATATCGTCAACCGAGACGATATGACAACGGAGGTCCAGAGCCGATGGAACTCTGTTATGTAGAGAGCGAGAAGGCTCGCTCTGCAGACTACAAGAAGTTGCAGAGATGCAACAGATGTCAAAAGACAGGACACTACGCTTACGAGTGTAGTGCCGCCCCTCGTCCAGTGTCTCGCGACACTGGGCATAGTGACCGTCTACCCATGAGAAAGGGGCAGGGACGAGGGTCCGCTGTTGGTGCAAAGACGCAACAACGGGATGGACCGTCAAAAAACGGACAGGATCAGTAGGTGCGGAGCACCCTACTGGTCCAGCAACGTCAAGAGAATTTGTAGGCCTCTTGATGAAGGTTGCTCCCAACATACAAACATTGTGCGTTGCTGCTCTAGGTAATGAGATCTCACTCATTACCTTGAAACTAGAAGTGACAAATAAGCTGTCTCTTCGAGCTCTAGTTGATTGTGGGGCGTCCAACAATTTTGTGCGACGCCAATCGCTAGAAGATGGTCACTTTAAATTCAGTGAATGTGACACACCTCCTACGAGGATGACGGTACGTCTTGCGACAGGCGCATCCGTAACCGTCATGAAGCGTATAGTGAAGATCCACTATACGCTAGAAGATACCCAATATGACGATGACTTCATCGTATTGGATTTGGATGACAAATTTGACGTCATCCTTGGAATGCCGTGGCTCAGAAGGTACGAACCATGAGTAAACTGGCAGCATCGAACAGTAACGATGCCTGCCACTTGTTCATCAGATGGCCATCTGATAAGCGTCTTGGAGCGTCCACAAGCGTGTGGATGTACTACGAGTGAGTGCGATGGCCTCACTTGTGGTACGGTCGTTAGTACGACTGCACAAAACCTTAGTGTACCAAACGGTTACACTTCGGAGCAAAGTTCCGGCGGCTGTGAGGAAACACAGGCTGCGCCGAAGGTCCACCACTCGAATAAGTCGGGTGGACCGGGACAAAGATGTATCCCTAGCGGGGAACATCGAGAAGAGAAACAATCGATCGCTCAGGTTAAGCGAAACGATAATCCTAGATCGACTGGAGAGTCTTTCGTAGAGGATCTCGCTGTGGTTGCGCAACCCCAGCTAGAGGAAGAATAAGTCCCAAGATTACAAATACGGCGGAAATAAGTTCTCTGAACCCGCGGGAATAAGTCCCCGGGAAGCCGAAGGAATAAGTCCTTCGAAGCCTGAGGGAATAAGTCCCCAGGAAATGACAGAGACATTAAATTTCCTAGTCAATGACGGATAAGTGTAGGCGCTTATACACTTGATCTGATTGCGCCTCCGAAGTTGACTTCGGAGATCACTCAGTTGCCAACGCTCGAACATAAAAGTTTCTTGCGTGATCTGCGTAGTGGCAAAGTCAAGCAGATCTGCGTACTCGTCGCTGACGACGAGTGTGTAACCGACATAAGGTCAGCAGCAGTGTTTACTGAGAACGAGAGAGTTCTCAGTAGTTCATCTATGGACGAGAGCGTCCTAGATGAAAAGACACGAATTGAGCGATATGACTCCCAATCGTGGGAATCGCTCAAGACAAATCCTCTCTACGAAGATTTGGTTGAATTCAAGGATGTATTCCCTGAAACTGTTCCGTGCGAGTTACCGAAGGATAAAGGTATTCGACACGAGGTCGAGCTTAAACCAGGCTCGAAGTACTGTGTCATGAAGCAGTGGCCACTGCCTCGTGAACAAGTACTTGCGATCGACAAGTTCTTTGCCGATCGTTTAGTTGCGGGCCATGTGAAGGAATCAACTTCCCCACATAGCTCTCCGACCTTCTGTGTGCAAAAAGCAACAGGAGGGTGGCGGATAGTGCATGCATTTAGCAAGTTGAATGCTGCAACGGTACCGGCTCAGACGCCGAAACCAAGTAAGGACGTAATCATTGATGGTATGTCAAAGAGTACCATCTTTTCGTCCATGGATTTGATGGATGGCTTCTATCAAATCCTTATGCGAGAACGGGATACACCCTAGACCGCAGTTAGCACGCCTAGCGGCATGCTCTGGGAATGGCTAGTAATGCCACAAGGGCTTAGTAATGCCCCTGCCACGTTCAACAGATGCGTATCACATCTGTTGAGACCAGTACGAGAATTTGCGCCGAGTTATTTCGATGACGTATTCATCCATAGTCGAGCTATGGATGGAAAGTCGGACGTTGAGGTTCACAGGTACCACGTCCGACAGGTTCTTACAATCATGCGAAAGCATCAATTGTATGCAAACCTCAAGAAGTGTATATTTGCAGCAAGCGAAATACCACTTCTTGGGTGCATCGTTGGTAAGAACGGTGTACGTCCTGATCCCGAAAAGATCAAGGCGATCACCGACTGGCCTGTGCCGGTTGATGTCAAAGGTCTTCGAAAATTCCTTGGGCTAGCGGCGTATTTGCATAAGTATTCACGCAATTATGCCGAGATGACTGTACACCTCTCTCGTTTGTTGAAAAGAACGAGAGGTGGTTATGGAACGCTGAATGTCAGCGCTCCTTTGATGGTATCATGCAGAGCTTGATACAATCCCCAGTCCTAGCAATAGCCGATCAGGACAGGCCATTTCATGTGGTCTGTGATGCCAGCGATTTCGCAATCGGCTGTGCATTAATGCAGTACGACCTAGAAGGCGTTGAACGCATCGTCTGCTATCAGTCGCGTCAGCTGCAACCAGCTGAGCGGAACTATCCAGTGCATGACAAGGAACTCCTTGCCATGAAGTATGCACTCGCGAAGTTCAGAGTCTATCTATTAGGAGATAGACCCTTCGTTGTTTACACTGACCATGCGTCATTACGCACGGCAGTGAACAGCCCGCACCTTTCACAACGAATGGCGCGGTGGTTGTCATTCTTTGCAGAATACAACTTTACGGTCGAGTACAAACCAGGACGACTTAATGTCGTCGCTGATACACTCTCACGTCGTCCCGACTTTGAACCAGTCATGAAACCCAACAGTGAGACAGTCACTGTTGCGGTTATGACGTCCTCAGTCCCATCTACAACGTTGTATGATGATGTGAGGCGGGCATACGCCCAAGATGGTGAGATTGTGAAGTTGTTGACACATCTCTCCCAACCATCTCGAGAATCGTTGAAACGATTGTCGTCTGCGTATCGATCTGCATCAGATCGATACACTACTCGTAACGGTTTACTGTATTATACAGCCGTTTCTGGTGACACACCACGTGTTGTCATTCCAGATGATACTGATCTGCGTTTGCGGATCATGTTCGAGTATCACGATGCTCCTATAGGAGGACATCCTGGCCGTGAGAAAACATACCTCACGGTAAGTCGAGACTTTTACTGGCCCCGCCAGTATCAGTTTGAACGAAAGTATGTTCGCGCATGCGAAGTCGGTCAACGAGTGAAGTCAAGTCCTTCACTGCGTGCACCTTTACAGCCTCTACCGGTTCCGGCTGAGTGCTGGGAATCCATCTCAATGGATTTCGTCTTCGGGTTACCCAAAGACGCACGCGGGAATACGGGTATTCTCGTATTTGTTGACAGATTCAGCAAAATGGTACACCTTGTGGCTGTACCAGAGACAATCACGGCAAGTGGCTGTGCTTGTGTCTTTATCGACACCATCTTCCGACTTCATGGGTTGCCCCGTGAACTCGTATCAGACAGAGATCCACGCTTCACTGCTTATTTCTGGCGTTCCGTGTTCAAATCACTCGGAACGCGCTTGAAGATGTCGACATCTGATCATCCAGAGTCAGATGGTCAGACGGAACGAGCCAATCGTGTCCTTGAAGCGATACTTCGAGGATACGTACACTCCTTTAAGAGTTGGAGTGAGTTTTTGCCAATGGTAGAGTTTGCCATAAACAACTCGGTGCATGCGTCCACGACCCATACACCGTTTTACGTGAATGGCTTACGCCATCCGCGTGTACCCACCTTACTAGAGTGTAACTCTGGTTTAAGGGGGGGGACTCGCGCGAGCAAAAACCGATTTGGTTCACGCTCATCACGCTCTGACGAAGAGTTCATTGCGTTTGATGCCGATATCGATAACATCGATATCGAAGAAGATGATGCCAGTGAGAGTGCGGAAGCCCTCACTGAAGAAGATGATGCCAGTGAGAGTGCGGAAGCCCTCACTGAAGAAAAGGTTGATGTCACGGCAGTGCGCTCACAGCGCACTGAAGCTAACGAGTCATCAGATGAGTTCATACTGGCTCGTGAAACGGTAGTCCGTGTTGTGCAAGACTCCATCGCCGAAGCGGTGGATAAGCAAAAGCAAAACGCTGACAAGAATGGAAGGGCAAACACTATTTTATTTAATAAAGGTGACTTAGTCCTACTGTCTACGGTTAGTCTACCAAAGCATGTAGTGACTAACTTGGGTAGCAGTAAACTTCTACCCAAGTACATCGGCCCATTTCGTGTATTGCACCGCCTAGGCAGTGCATACACGATCGAGTTGCCACGTAAGATGCGAACGCATCCCACGTTTTACGTTGGTCGGCTTAAGCCGTACCATCAGTACGCTGCTTCTTCCGATGAAGAACGCCCTTGCGCTCAAGCATCTCGCATAGAGCCTTGTGCTCCCGATGGTGGGCATCGACAAGGGTCTGAAGAGCAGTTACCTCATCCGAGATCGATCAACAATCCCACGAGCTACCCTTAGCTCGTTACGCAGAGATGTCAGAGATCTCTCGTTCTCAAGCTGAGCAAAGGCAAACTCAGCTCGATGCTTCAAGACAGTGTCCGCCATTTGGAGACGCCTGTCCCGCTCATGTTCGAGATCGTTGCGAAACCCCTTCCGTTACGCGATCAAAGAAGCTCTCGGGAACACACGGATCCCCACGATCGCGTGGAGAGCGTCTTTCCTCCTCCTCCACCTCCATTAGAGGACTCTCGCGGTGGCCAGCGCTATCTAGTTGAGCAGCTGTTGAGCCACCACGACGTGAACGGACGTCAGACGAGTTATCTCGTCCGATGGCGCGGCTATCCCCCGTCCTGGGATACTTGGGAGCCCCGCTCCCAACTGATGATCGACGTACTGGGTCTGGTTGAGGACTACGACGCGGCACATCCTGTGCCGAAGAAGGGCCGCCGGAGAAAGCCTTCCCGGCACGGTCGTAAAGGGATTTCAGGTTGTCAATCCCTTCGTACATCTCAGTATAGATACGTACGCGCCACCACGGGCTGGTAAGGAGGTAAGCCTCCTTAGGTGCTCGTGCAGAGTGGTTCACACAACATGGGCACGAGTCTCCCCATGAGAGGCAGGGTAATCCCTTCTCCCTTGACAGACGATGCAGCTTGTAGCGTGCACCTGTCGGGGTTCGCTTTTCAAACTTATCACGAGCTTTGATAAGTTTGTCGTTCCAAGCGTCACGACCTACATCCTCAAGGTTATGGATGTAGGCGTTCCACGCCTGAAGCAGTGAGGGACCATCACGTTTTTGATTCCCACTGTACCATCGATGATTGAAGAAAGCATCGATGAAGAAATCATTCTCAGCGCGATAGTTTTTCGCGCTGGGGTCAAGGTGATGGATCCTTGACGAATCAAACAACCGTGTTCGATAACGATCACTCGTCGTCGCCGACAAGTGATCCATGACGGATTTAGGAGGCATCCATGCCTTCTTCTCGGGAGCGAGACGCAACACACTGCGGTCCCGCTCTTCCTGCGATGTGCCGACAGAAGTACTGGCACCTCGTCGCGAAGTAGTGTCCATAGGAGAACCGACACCACTGTTAGCGCCCGAGTCTCGCGACCTCGAGCGCCTTCGCTTCGACGATGGTTCATCTGATTCATCAGATGAACCAAAGATGCTGCGGCGCAAAGCATCGTCCATGCCACGCTTGGCAGGCGGCTTGGATTCGATCGCCGTCGATACGGATCCGTCTTCCGTATCAGGAGAGTATGAGACACCGAGCTCATACTCTGTGAAGACATGAGTGTCTTCATGACCAGGCCTGCATCACCAAGTGACACAGGCTGGGTCGCTTCAGCAACCGATGAGCCATCAGTTGCTGCGGTTTCTGCTTCTGCGTCCGCACAGAGACGTGCGGACGCGCTCTCGGCGGCCTTGCTCGCGCATCGCATGGGCTTGTTAACCATGCGATGAGATGTTGGAAAGTGGACTCGGACCAACAAGTGCAAACCCTGTCCCAAATGATTTGGGACGAGTATCCATTTAGTCAATCAGTCACTAAAGTGACTGATGGTTAAGGGAGGGTGATGTAACGGGGTGAATCGTTACATAACAATTTATAAGAAATTGTTAATAGAATATAACTGTAAGAGTTATATTCTCAGAATATTGTCAGAAGGACAAATATTCTGTAGCACTTACGAGTAGTTCCTAATTGGTTGATATAGGCCATTATATCAACCAACGAAGACGCGCCACGACAGACGCACGCAATGAGAGGTGAGCAGATAGTTGATTTACACATTTGTATTTAGACATAGTTAGATGAAGATAAATAGTGATTTATTGCAGACATTAACTATGATAAATACAGTTCTACTTTTTACTTTAACCAAGTACTCGCTTCTTCTTCCCGTCTTCCTCTGCACGTACGAGTGTACGTGAAGTGACGAGGCACCGCCTTATTCTGTCATCAGAATAAGTAGCTTGTACTGTCACCAGTACAAGCTTCAGGGTGCCCAGTTACAATGGTGGTGTCGTGTCCTCGCTGATGGAATCACAGCTCGCTTGTGGTGCACGAAAATCCAATGTTGATCTGAGATTAAAGGGTCACACACACGCGATCTGCCGCTTTCTTTTGAAACACACTATGCCACTACTGTGTGTTGGGACCTTGACCTAAAAACCTATTCTTAAATAATGAGGAGCACAGTGCGCATTACACACTACACTCAATACACAAATCTTATGCCAAGAGTGTGGCGAGTCGTTGAGTCGTGATCTTCGAAGACCAAATGCTTTTATGGACTAAAAGGCTCATTAAGGACGGAAAGTACGACATAAAGATCGATGTCGCGTATATAGAAGGTTCTGTTCAGGTACATAATTACGTATAAATTCTTTTCGATCCAAAAAATCCCGAAAATGCTTTAAAGGAACAGATGCAGTCGATGAATGTGAATTCGTCACTTCTAATCAACTCATCGATTCGCTGATTGCATTTACTGAAAAGTTTTGTGGTTGCTTGAGGGGCTTGTCGCTAGCATACTTGACATACATACTTGATTAGATAGCGTAGACTCAGCCGCATCGGAACATGTAATATTTCTGAAGGATTTCAAGCGTACGTACCCTCGCAATAACTATTCAATCCCTCACGCTTACGACGCCCTGGTTGTTCGATAAAATTTATGCACTAAACAATTTATAGTCCTGATTGGTAAGACAAAATGTAACACAAACACGATCCACCTTAAGCTGGTAAATGCGAATGCTCACCTTCATCTTAGAACTACCCCTTTTTTCATGATTCGTTACCATTAAATACCCTTACTGGAACTGGGAACCGGTCACTTGTACTGTCACAGTACAAGCTACTTCCACTGAACACAGAGTTGGGTGAAGCCACGAGACTTAACTTACACGCATCGTGCAGAGGAAGGTTTCAACACAAGAAAATGGGTAAAAGTATAAATGTATTAAGCATTGTTAATCTCCTGTAAATAAATACTATTTAGTCCTCATTTAATTATATCTCAATACCAACATGCATTATAACTACCTGCTCACGACTTATTTTTTCTTTTGTGGCTCAATTTTTGGTTATAATCATAAAACCCATGGAAAACAAAGAGCAGTGTATTTCTTCTGCAACACATTGTTGCTTGGTAAGCCAATATTGTAAGAACATTGCTTATCCTAACATAATATTTATCTTTGATATTTACCTATTGTAAAATGTCATGTAACGGAGGCAATTTGTTTCACTTATACTCCTCATAAACTAGCGAATTCTCCTCTTTCAGAAACCTATCCTAATTTAAAGGCCTACACAACGTCACAACGATATGTTATTGTTACAAGGCGTATTGAGAGGTTTGGAAGGAGAAATGACGGTACGTCAATGTAGTAGACTATCAGTAATCACAATATGGCGCACCTGTTGTACTCAGTGGCCAATGTGAGTGTATAAGGCCAAGCGGAGCAGCGGCTGTCCTTTCAGATCCATTGAAGTCTTTGAAGAAAATCAATGGTAAATTGAATAACACATGCCGAGCACAATTACGAGGCATTTGATCACACGAGCACTCAACCGCAAGAACAATTTGGCGCACTATCATCAGAAAACACGCAAAATGTATCGGACATGATACTTGCACTCGTTTTTACCAGACTTTTTACCACCACACTTCAACAGATTGCAGATCTCATGCGAACAGGGCAAGATGTTCCAGCATCATAAATAAAGAACCGACCACGGTGCTGAACGGACGATCACGCATTACAGCGCTGCTAAACAATCTCAATAATTATACCCACTACTTTTGGCAAATTTCACCAGGCAAACCTATTTAACTGCCGCTTGTATCGCCCTGTGCCCGTGAGATCTGCCAAAAGTTTTGTGCTGGTAAAGTGTAACTGCTGAACACAACATGCAAGACGAACACATTTGATCTGCCTCTGTTTCTTGTTGTTAGTGTACAACATCTAACCAGCTATTTTCTTTTGCGCACTGCTTTAGATAAAAAGAGGCAGCTGCTGCTAATCGTTGGAATCTTAGTAATAATTTCGGGATCGGTTATATAAATAAAACCTTTCCACCAACGACATCACCTTTGTGACCAATTGTGGGCTAGCGCTAGTGGATGCTCTTCAGTAAAAATTTCTTCATGTGAACGTGACATTGTGCAGCTGGCATATGATCAAAATGTCTATGCAAAAGCAGATGAACAACTTCACAGTAGAAGCTTGGAATTTTTTTTGTAATAGATTGGACTGCTTGGATCAATCCCACCAGTGTTGATCGATATAAAAAGCTACTTCAAATAAGCTTTTCAACAACAAGTTTATTGTAGTCCCGTCCCTACCAGGTCGTAAGAAACTGGGCTTTCCATGCAATGCAAGATGAAGGAATTAAAATCCCAGTAATGCGTCATTGCAATGATAACTATATGGTCCACAAGAAGAAATTTGTGTTTGTGTTTTTGTGCAAAGAAGCATTGTGGGCACAACTCAATATATCTTGTGGAGAGCGTATGCAGTTACAAAAAAGGATTGGAACCTTGACAGGTACGTGTACATATTATTTATACACTGATTTATGTGTTGCTGCTATGAGAATCCAACTGATACACAGTCCACCTTGTGGTAGAATATTACGCAGTTCGGCTTGCTTGTGTACAAAAATATTCTGCTATTATGCAAAAACACGTAGCATAGCGGTATTTTGTCGAGATGGATTACATTTTTTAGGAGGTAATGTGAAAGATTTTACGCATGCGCCGCGCGGTGCATACCAGCAACTTTATCCGCAGCAACAAGATGAAGAGAACAGCAACATCGATATAGCATTTCTAGATTAAGCATGGGCTATCCTTACCATCATGAGGTATTAAGCCACTGCCGATGGGTACCACTGGTTTCTTTGACAATCGATAGCTTTGACCAGCATTGATGATCGTTCCAACCTCGCCCGCCCAATAGTGCAGTTGTTGTTCAGTCATCAGTAAACAAAATCAAAAACAGTTACGGAAGACTGTGATACTTCTGAATACTATCGTAAGCGCATACTTCCCTAGCGAGCACTTGCAGTCTACACAGATGATGCTATCAATAATCCTGTGCGAGTGGTGACGCGATGCCGACCGACGGGGTCAACACGCCCCTGCCATCCAAAATTGAGATTGCAAAAGCATCTGCTAATCCTACGCCTCGACGACGCTGTAGATGCACTTTCCAGTCAGGGCATTATTCTCTTACATGCCACGCACTTGTCATTGTAGACATTGAAGAAATTTACTGTATCGAAGTAGCGGATGTATAATTAACTTTTAAGACCACGTGCTGCACCAGTGACGTAAGCCTGAGACTTTGAATTTAAGTCCTCTAATGTGCTATTTTGATATAGTTCGACGGTAGATTATAGCTAAGTTTCACGTTCAAAACGTCAGATAAATACATGCTCTTTTCATCTACTATTACGCAATCTTCGTAACTCTCTCTTTATCATTCTACTGTCTGACGTTATCGTCTCTGACGACAGCTACATCATTACAAGGTTTTCAGCCGACTAAAGCTCTTTATATGTGTACGACCGAAGGGAATCAGAATCGCGCTTTTTTTCTTCGCAACAACGAAGAGTTCGTCAGCAATAATCAAACATACTATAGTCACGAATCAAAATTCTATATCGCCATACCAGAAAAATTTCAGACGTCAGGAAATGCATGGGTAAGAGCCACTTACCTTCAGTACACTCTACTTTACGTTATCCAGTTGTCCTCTGCTGCAAATGAAATGCAACAGGGATCCAAACTCTTCATTGTAAAATACTTGCCTAGTATATTATAATGCACGTTTTTTTGACAAAAAGACTCACTAGCGTCGATGAAGCGAGCTCCGAAAACGTCAAGAGTGTAAAGCCCACATATACTCGCAGTTTCGTTCATCTTAACACGTCTCATCGAACATATGACGTCTAAAGTTGTGTATGAGTTAAATCCTACAATAACGTGGCAGATGCTCTCCATTTCATCAATTCATGTCTTAGTAAGGCCGTGTAAACTTTATGACATTCCCACGCCTTACCTTAGTTAAGTTGCTTGTACGACCACAGGGCCTTAGTCAAGATTCTCGTATAATCGCAATGATACAAATACTTAAGATAGACGTCATCCTTCCGGAATGACGATGCGCATGCTTATACGATCCGCACAGTACAGGACCCCAGTGTCACAAACTTAAATCAATAATGCTGCAAGCAATTTAGTTTACAGGGCGCATAAAGCTCGACTAATACAGTCATCCTTGACATCTCGCTGATGAACGCATAAGAGCATCGTATCACTTCCACTAGCTTGAGCATGACAGATGTATCCTGAAAAGTAAAGATAGATACAGGCCATCTACTATCGATACGTTTTAAGCTATTTGCTTGATTACCTACTCACTAACTACTACAAACAATTGGTGAGGCCGTCCGCTTTGGACAATAGAACTGAATTGACTGACTACATCTCCACTTTCTTGCTTGCACATACACGGCCCTGTCCTTAGGAAACTATTTACATTCCCCGCCCTTATTTTCTCTATCTTTCGTAAAATTTGTGTAATATGCATAATACTGACAGTATAAACGCATCGTCAAAATTGTCAGTGGCTCTAGTCGCCATATGCTACGTGTGCTTTACTTACTGTCATATTTTGCGCTTTCTTTTACCACTACTGCCGGTCCCGCTAGTTCCAAAAGCGCTGTGTCGCTTGTCAGCGCACGTTGTAACGGATTGAGCCTGTTACATGTAATTAATCTCGATACTTGTTAATCATAATATTAACAGAAAGACTGATAATGTTCGTGAATATGACCATGAGAGATAATATTTAAAGACACTCACCGATTAATTGAAATGGGCCATCATGTCAGCCAGTTCTAGCGGCCAAATCAACGATGGACGCGCGTATTGAGTGGTAAGAAAAACTTAAGCCTACACTTTTGTAGATAAAAATTATTTAGTCAGGACTAAACAAAGGTTCCTCTCGTCCAATGGTTCTTGTGTCGACACGACACAGCATTTGCATATTAGTACAGAGCTGTTTGGCCATAGAAATTTCGAGTCGGATTACATCTCGTCATCTTTTTAATTTTGGCTCCAGCCGTTTTGTATATATCCGTACCGATGTACCATACACTCGATAAATAAAAACGCATTGTAAAGACCTCACTTTCGTGATTCATGCCCAAGTGCTGGCGGTAGGTCGTGACGGCTGCAGGATGCTATTAGCAGATCGCGGCTTACCATTTTAGGCAAACCAATAATCTTCGATCGGCATTTTTAAGTTGTGGGCCAAACAAAAATCAGATTGATCACAGGCGGTGACAACTCCGTGACAAGCGAGGCGTACATCGTCTACATGGTGGTCATAATGCTTTTATACATCTAGAGCTGTAGATGGTTGCATACTCCTACGTCTGTAATGGGTTAGTTGCATGTAAGTGAAAGGACAGGAATACCATCGAAGACAATGAACCAGTAACCACTAAGTACAAGAAGTACGTCTGCTGGTCGAGATGATGGCACAAAGTACCGTATCTTAACATGATCTGCACGAATAGACGGACAAGAAGTCACCTTCGGCGTCAGCGACGATGTTTTCTTTAGCCTTCATCACCGCGTGAAAGGTGACCCAGTATTACAATGTAACGAGTAGCGGCAACGAGACCAGTCATGAGACCAACGTATCACTATTCGAAGTAAGCCCGATTATACTGCTGTCGCCAAGCTCGTCAACTGGACCAGTTTTTGGACTCAGCATCGATGCCATTTGAGTTCAATGTCCGTGCATGCACCTGATTCCAAACAGTCTCCCCGGCCTCCAACAGCAATATCATCAGCGTGTTTACAAAGCTGATAATACATCACGTTTCAGCCGAGTCATGGCGGCCGATTTTACCACTTTTATCGGCGAAGTCCTCAGTGAACTCACATTGAACCTCATTGGCGTGCGAACGGTATTCTTATATGCACAACATCCATTGAAAACTGTATAACTCACTGGAGTATTCTACAGACATGTCGCAGCAATTAGTACACGAGTTGGACCAATTCAATCTCGTACCGCATGCTTTTTTGCCAGCTTGTACTTTTTTCTATCAAAACACTGGACCACAAACGTGACTGCATTGATGTTATCGAGATGTAGTTACCCTTGCTGGACCTACAGCGTCTCGATGAGAAGTTTTGCAACACTTTCAGACCGGCTTTACCTGCTATACAGGCAAGTAGTCTCCCATTTAAACCAGGTCGGATAAAGGAAATGCTCCTATATTACATCTTTAGCCCGTTTTATACCCGAATCTTCATGACGACCATCGCGTTGTCGTTATAAAGACGATGAAAATGGAAAGGGTAGATAGTTTGTCTCGCAAAAATTTATCGTAAACGAGGTGTAACTGTCACACATCCTGCTAGGTGCGATATAATAGGTTGTCACATTTGCTGTCTGAGACAAGTACTCCTATTACATCCTTTGGTATTAAAAAAATGAACTCAGAGATAGCGGGTGCAGTGTGTCGTATTTGTATTCTAAGAAGTTGGGTTAAATCCACTTCCAGCCAATCGAACGTGATCTTTACTCGAATGGATATCGTGAGACCTGATCTCAAGTACTTCAGAAGAAATTACAAAGTATACGAATTAGACTGAAACTAACCTATCGCGTGCCCGCCTGCAATAACCACGCTTCCATTTAACTTCTTCATAAGGCCTTTAAATGGTTAAAGGACCGGATAATTGGACCGGTTTAACTGGTTACGCTTCATAGCTATACTTATTGCTGATTGAACGCTTTCCCCTACCAGTGTGGATGTATCATACAATACAAAATGTGTTTCATGGATCCAAAAACATTAAAAAATCCTGAGTGAACCCGAAAAACATTTTGCAATCGGGGCCAACCTTCATGGCGGCAATTTCGGTAGTGGCCAATACAAATAGATCAGTCAAATGCGTTGTTCTGTTAATTTGAAGCAATCAAAACCTCATTCTCACAAATTAGATTTGGTTGCGATTTCGGTGCGGAAGAGGCGTTTTTACTGGCAGCGTTGACTTTTGTTGCAGCAAAGCTAATTTAAGCAAAGTTTAAAAAGTGTTTTATGTCGTGGCGACTCATCTCTGCTATAAGAGATAAGAGAGTTTGCACGGAACCCGCTGGCGATGCGGCAGCATATGTGATTGCTATCTCGATGACAACTAGAAATAATAACTGTTACTTATTTATCAAACAGATCAATCAGAATATTGTGTACCCTTTAATGAATAATTTCCACAACCTTTCGTCATGTTTATCCTATCATCAATTGTTGTATTATAACTTTACAACGGCACTATGTCGCTGTACCAGTAGCAAAAAAGATTTCATTGTATAAGAAATATTCATACCCTTATTCTTGAATAAAATTTTCACGGGTGATGATATTAAAGGCGGTTGTGTGGAGAAGTGTCAATCTTAAAATATCTGTTTTAATTTAATCTCTTGTCATGGCCTAATGGGTAGTCGGTTTTAGGAACGTAATAAATCTCATTAGTTACAAAAACATTGCGCTCACATTTAGACTCGATGATTGACTGATTGTGTTCTATCTTTGATGACTAGGGAGTTGACGGTTTCGCTTGCAGTTGGATTAGGCCTTCATCTGCGCTATGTTTCGGAGCTATTGTTTCATCTAAATGTCGGCTCCTTTTTTTCTTTTAACAGATTGATGTAAGTTCTAATACCTACTTATTCTAGATTGTCCAAATTGTTGATATTTTTGTCGTGTAATCTGTAGATTTGTGGCTTAGATGATTGAATCAATGACCACTCTTGCGTTTTCTCAAACAAATTCTGACAAATTAAGTCTTCTCACGATCTTAGCTTCCTGTCCTTACCTTGTTTGCTGCATCCGAGCGTAGAAATTATAAGATTAATGTATTTTGCTATTCCCGGGTAAGTTACTTAAGGTCTGGGCTCGTCATAGATCTTACGACGGGTAAATTGTAAGTCGTCGGCAGGCTAAGATTTTCATTTCTATAAATGAGGATCGTGAGATGTCTGCTAAAGAATTATGTTCCATTTTTTTACTACTCGTTTGAATCATCAGAGCTACTTTTTCTATGCGTTTTTAATCCTGGATTAGGAAATTGCTAAATTCACACCCCTTTTCCTTAAATTCACACCTTCCTTCAACATCTTACATTTAAAATTCCTATTCATCTTAAGATGTGCTCTCTGACAAAGGTATTAACCAATAATCTAGGCCATGAATTTGGCAAGTAATGCGCAAGAAATACCCATGATACTGCTCACGCCTGTGGTCTGGCTCCTCCAGCGTTTACTGATAGGGCACCACGCAATAACATGCTTCCTCCTACTCTAATCCGAGCTGAGGATCTGATCCGCCACCTTATGCATTTCCGTGTGAGCATTCAATTCCACCAGTTTGCCCTGCTCACGGTAAAAGTCAATCACGGGCTGCGTCTGCTTGTAAAAATCCTCCAGACGCGAGCCAAGCGTGGCTTCATTGTCGTCCTTGCGCTAAATCAATGGCTCACCCGTAATGTCATCCTTACCGTCCACATTCGGCGCAGCAAACTTGACATGATTACTGCGGCCACTAGCCAAATGCACGCGTTGACCTGCAATGCATTCAACCAGCACTTTATCTGGCACGTTAATAATCACCACAGCATCCACCGAGGTGTTTCCTTCGTCAACATCTCGTCGAGCTGCACAGCACCACATACAAAAAGAGGGAACTATGGTCAGCCGCTGCGTTGCAACCTGGACACTCGTCTGTATCTCCTCTTGTTCTCACCTTTTTGGCCTGCACGACCGCTCGTGGAAAGTCGTCAAGAAAAAAGCCACAACGGCAATCTGAACTCATGATGGCGTCCTTAACGATACCGACGACAATCTCGTTTGTCACAAGTGCGCCCAACTCCATCGCGGCTTTGACCTTTTTGCCTATGTCGGTGCCAGCAGCTACAGCAGCGCGCAAGATGTCGCCCGTAGCCAAGGGGGCAGATAAAGTACTCGTCTTTGTCCAACGGCGATTGCATACCTTGTATAAATAAAAGTTTCAAGGAAGGATGTGAATCTAAGGAAAAGGGGTGTGAATTTAGCAATTCCTTTTAAAGTTTGTAAGAGTGTCTAATTTTTAGAACCAATCGAAATAATTTAAAAAAAGCTAAAAACTTGTAAAGCGTCTAGTCCTGGTTCAAGGGACCAATAATTGCTAAAAGAATTGTACGCACATGTTCTTTATAGTACACGTGTAATGGAGTTACACTAACTAGTCTAATAAACCTGGTAAAATGGTGTGGTACACACATTAACAGAACAGAATCACTGATAGGCCGTGTTTTTTTTTCTTACATACGCTCAGCGATGACACCGTATCCTCTCAGTTACGTTTTAAGGATATCTATCGTAATAGGGTCTAAATAAAAACAAAGCACTTTTGGTGTGGTACACAAAAAGAACGATGAGGACTACTCGATTAGGTTACCTAGTTTCTTAAGGCTATAGACGTAAATAAGGATTATCATCGCTATGAATCAGTAAACATGTTCAGTTCCCCTCATAATCATTTTCAGACACGTGTCTTTTCTAAGAAGTCTCTGGTCCTAATAGCTAAGTGCCTGAGTTTTGGCCAAGCTATATTAGGTAATACTGCCACGTACTTCCTTAAGTTCGTAGTCCGCTGAACCGGACTAGACGCATAAGAGCTTGCATATATACTTAGAATTAAGTCTTTTCAAGTTTGCAAGAATTTAAATCCTTTAAGCTAGAAATAGCGTTTAATTCGATATACTGTAAGTCTTCACGAGTCTAGAAGCCTTCCTCTGACTTAAGAGTTAATGCAGGTCTGCTCCATATGCTTAACATTAATGTAAAGATGCTTTTTGTATTGTTCTTGGTTATCTGCGCGCTTAACAAAGATACCCAAGACTACTATGATGAGCAACATGGTTGCTCCCAGACCTTTAAATTTTGTCCTGCATAGCCTTCTAGATCCTGGCGCTGTTCAATGACACGGCACACGCCATAACGCTGATGATACAATAGTAAAAAACAACAAGTTTCGTGTCTAGTCCTACCAGCATGTATGCATAGTCGTGGATGAGCTCATTAATTATGACATATCGCCTTGAAGATAAACAATTGTGGATTAAAATTCATCAGAGCCAAAGCTCATCATGACAAAAGCGGAGTGATATTTTTGCCTGGATTCTACGATTACATTTTTGCAGCTCCGCGAAAGCTCAATATAAGCAGGAGTGACGACGAAAGACGTATAGAATATTATGCTCCGCTGATTTGGGTGGTATATCGCCTTCGAAAGACAATAAGTACCCGAGCAGAGTCAGGGTAGCCCTTCCGGTTTCATTACATTTTTAACCCCCATTTGTCGTTTATAGGTGTTATGTCTCGCTCTCCATTGCCATCTGTCAATAAAAACTTAAATTAAGTTTGAATAATAAGCGATTTCATGTACATGTGTAGATGGAGATGGAGTTATACATTAGTTGTCTTTCATTTGGATATTATGACGAGTTCTAACTAAGGAGGTTGATACTCTTAGTACATTAACTGTAAGAAAGCCGGTTTTTGCCATACACACACACACTTACATATTTATAATACCCTTATTTTGGTATGCCCCTTCTCTTTATGTAAAAAAGGGGAGAAAGCTTTAGACATTGCCCTCTCTTAAATGTTTGTGATCCAGTTCGGGGAGTTGAATTATTATTTAAAGCACGAAACAAGAGCGGTTGCCGAAGGATAAAATGATAAAGTTGTTTCCAGGATGGACCGGCACAATATACTCGTGCAAAGAGGTCCGACTTTGCGTATAAGCATTTGGGGTTTGCTAAAATGGTATAATTGACCTTAAGACGATTTAAACCTAATTTTGTGCGGCCGTCACAAAAATTTAAATTTTAAGGTGCATAAATAGCGCTTACGAGAAGAGATTGGCTTGATCGCACTTTAAACAAAGTCTACACCCAGCGTTATTTACATAAAAATAGACACGCATAGACAGATAAGCGCAGGTTACTAAAATTATAACACCCCTTGCGCAGAGTCAATTATTGCTTCTCTGTTCGGAATTGCAAAAAAGTTAAAAAATGACAATTATACGTAATGGTACCCTCTTTTATCGTCGTAAAGCTGTAAGGACTACATATGTGTAGACGACTAATGAGTTTGGCCGATGTACGATTCCTATCAAACTTGAGCTAAACGGTATTCAGTGTAACATGTCAAGCAGAGCTCATTGAAAGTACGACTTAGTAGAAGTTATCTAGTAAAATGAAAAATTGTGCCAGACCGTTACGCCGAGCTCAACAATTTAAACTTGGTGGTGCGCTTCATGTCGTAAATCTTACGATATGCTGATGTTGCATCTGTTATAATGCCTTTCCGTGAATGCTGTAATACTCTCAGTCGCCTCATGGTTGTTAGTGTTAACGAGCCAAAAAAAATCCTCATCTCTGGACATCGTTTTGATTTTAAGCGTCAATTAATGGTTCCTGGCCGTGTGAGCAACAAAATTTTGGTTGTTGTTTGGTGGACCGTTGTGTCCTTTATTCGTAAGAACAGACACCAACGCGAGAAATACATAACTTCTAATAATTCGGTATTGCCGGTATTTGTGCAATATTCTTTGTCAAAAAAATAAATGTCGTGAAAGGTTTACATTATCTTTTATATTTCTCTTAGGCTTCAAATGAGTGTCCAGGGGAGGAGCAAGATGTGTGGTGAAAACTAACCAGTTTCATTTTCATTGTGATATTTCCCATAGAAGCGTTTTGCAATATCATAAGGAGAGCATTTTACTTTTATAGGGTGTCTGGCTATACCGAAAGGATGTATGGTCTCAAGTGCCTTCGACATTAATAATGTGTGTGGCTGTACCGTAAAGGATGTGTGGCTGCTAGGGCTTTAGTGAGTGTGTATTTGTGGTTATATCAAAAAAAGAGGGTGATGCGGTCATGCCGGTATTGAAAATACGTCTCTTCTGCGCCCACTACAAGTAATAATCGCTTTGAATAAAATTAAGGGTTGGAGTACGACTTAATACGGTTCCAGTTTGATGCTAAACACTTAGACAGCTTTTTTATATAATCGCTTGCCTTTTATCTGGTTTGATTTTTTGTACACAAGTGAGTGCACTTAAATTAGCAAAGATATTAGTGGAAATTATCCAAAACAAATCAAGAAACGGCAGCATTGATTGCAGATAAAGCAGTAGCAAAACTAATGATTGTAAGAAGAACCCATGTCCAACAGGATGTTAAGGACCTTCTCAGCTTCTTTGCATAAAATCTTATAATTCCGGTGGCATTGGGTGCTTTTGTAATCTACCTGATATTTTTGCTGAGGTGTCAAAATTTGCCTGCCCCAGTGGCTAGTCAATTAGCTTCGACTCACTTTGTCGTGGGCGAGACTTATTTAAATATGGTAATTGACTTATTGCTAACTAAACATCTCACGCTTGGCGACTATCAGCGCTTCTTCCTGGCTTCAGCAAGCAGAACGCTGTGAGATGATGCTTTTATACACTATTTACAATCTAAATTTGAATGCAGGCTTAAATGGATTACATTTTTAAACGTATAACAAGTGCGAGTTGCGTTTATTAGTATTAACGGCTGTAGCGCCATCTTCATTGGATGTAGAGTTAGTTTTCTGGACTTACTTGTACCAGTCTAAAACAGTTAATCGTCAAAGGTTGAACGTGGAATTGACGTTAAACTTTTCGAAGTACTGACTAAGTGTACAACACACCCTATTCTATATATATCACCTTTAAAAGTAGAGTAATTTTTAAATTGCTACGGTCTTCTATGTTGTACTTTAACTGAAAAGGTAGCCAATTTGTAGTGTAAAATAAACCACTCCTAACGTTTGCCCCCACCGAATACGTTTCTAAATTGTAAATCGTCAGGAATCTGGTCATTAGTTTATATCTAACAACATCTAAGCAGCATATCGTAAAACCTTACGAACATATCGACAGACGTAGCTTGCGAAGCAGAAGATACTGTAAAATTTTACCATTTTGTTTCTGCGCCATCGCTAACATTTACATTATTATTTTTGGAGACCCGTATATATGCTTATATGTTTGATACCAATCACCCACACTGTTACATCATAACATTAAAGACTTGGCACAATAACCATTTTATAGCCACGAAGTTTGCGCGAAAGATTTCAAAAAGTATGGTTTTAACGCCACGTAAGTTTCATCAACAGTTTTTAACACGCCACATGTGGACCCACGTCCAGATTGCATTATGACGTTCATACAGAGTAATCCAAAAAGTAAATGTTAAATTTTTTACATCAATTGATGCTTAAGTTTGCTATTGCGTGAACACTATATTTTCTGCGTCCAAATATGCGTCGCCTATCAACCTATATTGCTAGAATCGCGTACGCACATAAAACCCTTGTATGCATGGTCCGTCATTATAGTCTTTAGCATTTAATCAACTTCATCACGTCTCAATACGGTTCTTCATTCTCAAGGCCCCTGCGGGAAGAGGCACAACCTTATGATCGAGAAAAAAATTGAAGCAATCTTATTATACAATTTGTTTTATCTGATGAAATCTCTAGAATATGATTTGCGGATGCTCAATCAACAGCGTTTCATCTAGCTTTTTGGAAACAATAGTTATAGTGTGTCCGATCAACTTTTTTCTTGTTGTAAAACTTTAAAAAGTCAAAGATACGATTACAGCCGCTAAGTTGCGTAACATGCCATAAACAAAGTTGTTCGTGGTGCTTGCTGCAATTAACGTGATGGATAGCCTATAAATTGAGGATTAAGTGTACACGTTGGTACCAGTAATGTCAAAAGTAGTAGACGTCGCATTCTGTCGAGCCACGACATCAATTTTCGATAGCCCAAAATGTAATTCAAAGCTA